CCTCGGCGGGAGCGCCGCCGCGCTCCCAAGTGGCGCACTGTAGCAGTGCGCCACCGGGCCAGCCCAGGATGCTCACTCTTATCACTTTGATTCAGCATAGTACTGGAAATCCTAGCCAGAGCAATTAGGCAAGAAAAGAAATGTAAGGAATCCAAAACAGAAAAGAAGTAAAATTGTCTCTGTGGATGACATGATCTTATATGTAGAAAACCCTAAGGACTCCAACAAAAATGGCTAGAATTAATAAACAGATTCAGCAAAGTTGCAAGGTACAAAATCAACATACAAAATTCAGTTGCATTTTTATATGCTGACAATGAACAATCTGAAAAAGAAACAAAACAATTCCATTTATAATAGCTACAAAATATAAAATACTTAGTAACAAATTTAACCAATGAGGTGAAAGATCTATATATTGAAAATTATAAAACACTGATGAAAGAAATTGAAGAAGGTGGCACAAATGAAAGATGACCCATGTTCATGGACTGGAGCAACTAATATTATCAAAATGTTTACACTACCCAATGTGATCTACAGGTTCAGTGTAATCTTTATCAAAATTCCAATGTCATTTTTCATAGAAATATAAAAAACAATCCTAAAATTTGTATGGAACCACTAAAGACCCCAAATAGCTGAAGCAATCAAGATGAACAAAGCTGGAGGCATCACACTTCCTGTTTTCAAATTTTATTTCAAAGCTGTAGTAAACAGAATAGCATGATACTGACATTAAAACAGACACATATATCAGTGGAACAGAATAGAAAGCCCCCAAATAAACCCACACATATAAGAACAACCAATCTTTGACAAAGATGCCAAGAATACACAATGAGGAAAGGATAGTGTCTTCAATTCTTGGTGTTGGGAAAACTGGATATCCACATGCAAAAAAAATGAAATTGGATGCTTATCTTAAACCATACACAAAAATCAACTCAAAATGGATTAAAGACTTAAACATAAGACCTGAAACCATAAAAGGATGAAAACATAGGGGGAAAGCTTCATGATAATATTGGTCTTGGCAGTAATTTTTTGGCTTTGACACCAAAAGCACAGGCAACAAAAGCAAAAATAAACAAGTGGGATTACATCAAACCAGAACATTTCTGCACAGCAAAGAAAACAAAAAAATGAAAGGTAGTCTACCAAATTGGAAAAAATATTTGTAAACCACATAGCCAATAAGAGGTTAATATTCAAAATATATAATGAGCTCATAAAACAATAGTGAAAGGCAAATAACCCAATAGGAAAATAGCAAATGGCCTGAATAGACATTTTTCCTAAGAAGACATACAGATGGCCAACAGGTATATGAAAAGGTGATCAACATCACTAATAATCAGGGAAATACAAATCAAAACCACACTGAGATATCACATCACACCTGTTGGGATGGCTGTTATCAAAAAGTCAAAAGATAAGTGTTGGTGAGGATGTGTAGAAAAGGGAACCCTTGTACACTGTTAGTGGGAATGTAATTTTGTGCAACCATTATGGAAAACAGTATGGAGGCTCTTCAAAGAGTTAAAAATAGAACTACCATATGATCTAGCAGTCCCACTACTGGATATATGTACAAAATAAATGAAATCAATACCTTGAGGAAATATTGGTGCTCCTGAGTTCATTGCAGCATTTTCACAATAGTTAAGATATGGAAACAACCTAAGTGTCTGCTGATTAATGAACACAGAAAGAAAATTTGGTGTATATATAATGTGGAGTGTGTGTGTGTGTATAAAATGAAATATTACTCAGCCTTTAAAAAGAAAATCCTGCCATTTATGACAATATGGATGAACCTGGAGGACATTATGCTAAGTGAAATAAGCCAGACACACAATGACAAATACTGCATGATGTCACTTATATGTGGAATTGTAAAAAAAAAGCAAGCTCAGAAACAGAGTAGAAGGGTGATTACCACAGGTTGAGGGCTGGGAGAAATGGGGAAATGTTGGTCAAAGGGTACAAACTTTCAGTTATAAGGTGAATAAAGTCTGGAGACCTAATATACAGCCCAGTGACTATAGTTAATAATAATGTATTGCATACTTGACATTTGCTAAGAGAGTAGATCTTAAGTAGTTTCACCACACACACAAAAAATGGTAACTATATGAGGTGATGGGTATGTCAGTTAGCTTAATTGTTATAATCATTTCATGGTGTATATGTATATTAAAATAGCACTTTGTTTACCTAAAATGTATACAATTTTTACTTTTCAGTTATACCTCAATAAACCTGGAAAAAAATTTCAAGAAAAGGAGATAAATCACAAGGCCCTATTTAGAAATACCCAGAAAACTGTAGATTTTTTTTTTTTCAGGCTTTTGGAAGTAAGCAGGAAAATGCAAAAATGATTTTATGTAAATACTGTGCTTCGGCAATCCCTTGGCAATGTAACTTTTGTTCCAATGCATCATATAAAATGTAGTTAATAGATTAACACCATTTTCTGGTTGTAGAAGAATAACTGGGCTTTCAGGTAATCCTATTGAATGTCCTAGAATAGTGTCTTTTTTGTGCTTTGGCATGCTGGTTTGAACAACTTTTGTGATGTGAAGACATGGCTTTTAATGATGGCTACTCTGGCATCCAAATCAGGATAGACAGAGTGTGAAAAAGGCAGTAAAGGTCATAGCCTGTCAACTCCTTAGTCTTCTGATATGTAACTAATTCTGCATATATTGAATTCTTTTTCTACTTCTCTTAGGTTCTTGTATGGATTCAGTCTGGGGTTTTCTTGCATACATTGTACACTGCTTTTTTTTTTTAGATCTAATAGCTTTTAGAGCTGCAAGATTTATTTTGTTTACAAAGTTTACCAATTTTAGAAGATTCCTTTTTTTCTTAAGCACATGATAAAGGAAATATCTGTTCTCTTGATATCTTTTAGGTCATCGATCTATACACGAGACCCAGGAATTATTTCCAAAGCAGGACTCATATGCTGAAGAGAGAACAGACAAAATCTCAAACACTAAATTTGAGTGTTCCACTTTCAGAGAAAATTGGGATTCTGAGTGTGTATATGAAAGGAAACTGATAGGTCAAGAGACACAGTTCAAACAAGAGGCAATAACTCCTGACAAAACCTTCTCTAAGGCAAGAGAGCATGTACATAACAAATCTGGAAGATGGCTCTACTTGGACGATTCAGAAGAAGGGGTTCATAATCATGATTCAGTTAAAGGTTTCCAAAAAAAATCAGTTGGAATAAAACAAACAGGAATCTATGCAGGAAAAAAACTTTTCAAGTGTAGTGAATGTAAGAAAACTTTTACCCAGAGCTCATCCCTTACTGTTCATCAGAGAATTCATACTGGAGAGAAACCTTATAAATGTAATGAATGTGGAAAGGCCTTTAGTGATGGTTCATCCTTTGCACGACATCAGAGATGTCACACTGGCAAGAAGCCATATGAGTGCATTGAGTGTGGGAAAGCTTTCATACAGAACACATCCCTCATTCGTCACTGGCGATATTATCACACTGGGGAAAAACCGTTTGATTGCATTGATTGTGGGAAAGCCTTCAGTGATCACATAGGGCTTAATCAGCATAGGAGAATTCATACTGGAGAGAAACCTTACAAATGTGATGTATGTCACAAATCCTTTAGGTATGGCTCATCCCTTACTGTACACCAGAGGATTCACACTGGAGAAAAACCATATGAATGTGATATTTGCAGAAAAGCCTTCAGCCATCATGCATCACTCACTCAACATCAAAGAGTACATTCTGGAGAAAAGCCTTTTAAATGTAAGGAATGTGGAAAAGCTTTTAGGCAGAATATACACCTTGCTAGTCATTTGAGGATCCATACTGGGGAGAAACCCTTCGAATGTGGGGAATGTGGGAAATCTTTCAGCATCAGTTCACAGCTTGCCACTCATCAGAGAATTCATACTGGAGAGAAGCCCTATGAATGCAAGGTTTGTAGTAAAGCATTCACCCAGAAGGCTCACCTTGCACAGCATCAGAAAACTCACACAGGAGAGAAACCATATGAGTGCAAGGAATGTGGTAAAGCCTTCAGCCAGACCACACATCTTATTCAACATCAGAGAGTTCATACTGGAGAGAAACCCTATAAATGTATGGAATGTGGGAAGGCCTTTGGAGATAACTCATCTTGTACTCAACATCAGAGACTTCACACTGGCCAGAGACCTTATGAATGTATTGAATGTGGAAAAGCATTCAAGACAAAGTCATCCCTCATTTGTCATCGCAGAAGCCATACTGGAGAGAAACCTTATGAATGTAATGCGTGTGGCAAAGCCTTTAGTCATCGTCAATCCCTTAGTGTACATCAGAGAATTCATTCTGGGAAAAAACCTTATGAATGTAAAGAATGTAGAAAAACCTTCATCCAAATTGGACACCTTAATCAACATAAGAGAGTTCATACTGGAGAGAGATCCTATAACTATAAGAGAAGCAGAAAAGTCTTCAGGCAGACTTCACACTTTGCTCATCATCAGCGAATTCCTACTGGAGATTCATCAACACGGCCTTCTTTACCTTCCACATCAAATCCTGTGGATCTCTTTCCCAAATTTCTCTGGAATCCATCCTCACTCCCATCGCCATAGTCTCAAGACGTCATTTCAGCTAGACTGCTCCAGTAGTTTAAAAACTATTGCCCTTTTGTTTTTGTCCTTTGCTAGTTCTTCATATTGCAGTCAGATTGATATTTTTAAGTGCAAATGTAATTTATTCACTCATGTAAAGCTTGTGGATCCCTTAAATTGGTTAATGCATAAGATGTGCTTAGCACAGTGCCTGATCCATAGTATGTGTTCAGTAATCTTAGTTCTTTTAAAAACATTATTGTTGAACATTGAAAACTTGCCATAATCAGCTCTGATAAAAATGGAGCAGGATGAGGTGAGTAGAAACCAGATTTTAGATCAGGAACAGGATTTCTCTTGGTAGTTGGTGAGGTTTTGCCTATGTTG